TTTTTTTTAGCCGTTAATTTCAGCAGGGTTAATCACCGTCTGTTTCACGTGTTCGTGAAATTTGACTAGGTTGAATCATATGGCCCGGCATAGCTCTGCCAGTCAGGATACGTAAGAAGATTTGACTTTGACATGCCAAACGCTGACCAACTTCTAAACCAAAATAATGCCCCACTGTATAAGGACATAGCATTTAAGTTCTTAACATATAAGTCCTCACCCAACTTTTTGGTTTAATTAATTTTAAATATTATTTACTTGAATAATGCTTATTATTAGGCCAAAAGATATGCTCAATTAGAGATTAATTTTATTAAAAAATAATTGTAAATGTACTTGTTTCTTCAAAAATCCACAAGCAACGCCACAAGTACAAAACGTGAATGTGAGTATGCCACTTGTTTTGTTATAAAATAAGAACAAAAGATTTTTTCAATGACCCTCTTCTTCTTCATGATCAATCTCATTATGGATGGTTGGAAGAATATTGGTTTAAAATTAAAATTTGTATCTTTAAATAATTTGCAAGAATGAGGGATGCCTTTCTATAGAACGTGTTGCTAAATCTACCTTAAACAACTTCAAGGACTTAAATATTATTATGAATTAAAGTTAATAAATCTTAAATGAATTAAATGATATGCAAATTAAAGTAAACTTGCAAATAAAAGATGCATCCAAGTTAAACTAAATATGTTCATTGTCAAATTAAACTACTATTTATAGACATATTTGGAAATCAAACTATTATAGAATTGGAGATTTAACCCTAAATAATCATGAACTTAACATGAACAAAAGTTAAACTAACATGCCAAAAATTAAGAATAAGTGTAAACGTCCTATAAGTAATTATTTGGAGAAATGCTACTTATCATGAATATTAAACTAATATCAATTAGAAAAAGAATAGTACTTTACTGAAATTGAAAAACTTGATGTTTATTACATGAAAGGAAATTGAATAAGCAATTACATGAACTAATTTGGCTAATTGAATGCTAAAAACATTTTAAATCTATTGGGATTTATACTAAAAACTGAAATCTATAAGTTAAAGTGAGCAATTACTATGAAACTAGAGAATTAAAAATTTGATAAGTTGTGTGTAGGGCTAGCCACATGTTGAATGATTAGAAAATTTCCTTTTGTTTGTCTCCTCCTCGCCTACAACTCCCCACTATCAGACGGTTACATGAATGTGAGTGGTTTCTTTAAGAAGACAGACACCTTAATAGTTGATTGAGTTAGATTTCCAACCAAATTTCACCATCTGTCCCTATTATTTGCCAGTTTACAATCTTAACTAAAACAAATTCTTAAAAACCAGCTAAAATAACTCCACCATGACTCACATAGGCAACTAAAGGATAAGTCTCATCTCTTCGGGCCCTTTCTCTTCTTTATTTATTTATTTTTTTAAATTATGTGGCATTTGGCTTGTTAAGGGTCCTAGAACAACATGTCTGATGTGGCTTAATTTCATCCAATCATTTAAAGAAAAAAATTGACATGTGACATAAACTTAAGTCTTGTAATTTATGGTCTAAACAATATTATATCAAAAATTAAAAATTACTATGTAAAAAGTTAATAAATTTGATAATGAATTTTTATTAGAACTTTTATTAAATTGTTAACATTTTTTTATTATGTTAGAATTTCACATTTAAAAAATTGAAAGAAAATTGTCAAAAAATTGTCAAGTAATCTCGCATTACCAATCAAGTTTAATAAATTAGTGCTCACTAACCTTTTCATTTATTTAATTTTAGATATTATTTACTTCAATAATGCCCACCATTGGGCCCAAAAACAATTGAGAGGAACGCTACCTGCACCAGATTTAAAAATTGGTATATTGGGGAAAGGAGCATTTCGAAGGTAGAAGTAGATCCTCTCGCACACTCTATTGCTTGGATTCTCAAATATTTCATTATTATTATGGTAATATACTGTAAAAAAATAATCCAAAAAAATTTGTTAAATGTTTTTATTTGATAAAAAAATTTTAATTATTATTTATATAACTATTTACACCATAATTACAAAATTTTAAATTAATGCCATGTGTAAAATATTTTTTATTGGTTGGAGGAGTTTGAGCCATGTCAGATTCGGATTCTGTGTCCCATGATAGATAAGCACTTGTGTTGGCAAAATAGGAGAGGTGAAGATAATTTTTTATGGAGTAATTATCTTCTTGAGACAGAAAGGGATAATGGCAGTTGAAAAATAGGAGAATATTGCAGTTAAAAAGGGGGTTTTATCTGATAAGAGTATAGGTGGCGAAATCTGTAAGGAGATTAGACTAGGTCAAAAGGTGAAGTGTCCCACTACTTCAACAAACCACTCATGATTGAGTAACTACAGAAAGTGGAAGTTACTGCCGACACAAGGAAAACAAAAAGGAAATTTTGGAAGGAAGAACACACGGCCAGCCCTACTTAAACAACTGCAAATTTTCATACTTTTATTTTCTCTGCAATCTGCTTCCAGATTTTGAATTTCAGCATAGATTCCATTAGAAGTAGGTTTTTTTTCATCATTCCAGTAGGCAAATTAATTCATGTATCAACAATTTCCTTTCATGTATCAACAATTTCCTTTCATGCAATGAACTTCAATCTTTCAAGTTTATGCAAGGTATTGTTCTCTTTTCATTTGCAATTAATTTAATGTTTATGACAAGTAGCATTTTATTCAATGATTACTTATGTGGTGTTCATACCTCTTTTCAACCTCAAGCATGGTAGTTTAATTACTGTTCACGTTAATTTTAATGTTAATTAAGATGAAATCTTTAATTCTGCAGCATGTTAATGTCCATATCTGCTAATACATTGCATTTTAATTCAACAATGAACATGTTTAGTTTAATTTGGGTATAGCTTTTTCTCGCAAATTTACTTTAAATTGCAGGTAATTTAGAATAATTAGGATTTGTTAATTTTAAGTCACGATAGTGTTTAAGTCCTTGGAGTTGTCCAAGGCAGATTTCGTAACTCATTCTACAAGAAGGTATCCCTTCCTCTTGCAAATCATCTGAAGGCGCAAATTTCATTTTAATCCAACGTTCTTCCTGCCATTTGCAAAGAGGTCGACTGTGAGGAAGGAGAGGGTCGTTGGGAAAGTCCTCATTTCTTACTTTCAGCAAAGTAAGTGGCACGCCCGCATTCAGATTTCACACGTGCGAGGCCACTAAAGGATTTTTGGGGAAACAATCCTTTTTTGGCACGCCCAGTGGACATCATCGTGTCTTACTTACAGTTTTCAGATCCGTTGTTCCTTTTTCCAAGAAAAAGTGCAATCATGCAACCAAAAAGAAACCTTGGGAAGGCTACCCAGACTTTATAGATTGGGCTTGGTGATGGTAGTCCAGTACACTCAGAAGGTGAGAATGAGCCAATCATTCCACCACCATTGTCACCAATACTTGGGGAGCATTCTTTTGTCAATCCTACCTTCAACAAGGATAGTGAATCAGGAGATGATGTTGCTCAATCTGGTGATTCTCTTGTGAAAGCTGTGTCAGATCAGATTAGCATCATGAGGCACACACTGTTGGAATCTGAGGAGAAAGCTCGACAAAGAAGCCAAGAGGTTGCTAGACAGTTGGATGAGTCTTTTCAGAATCTGGCTCAGAATTTAGCCCAAAGTGTAGCTGACATGCGACGCTCCAATGAAGAAAGTACCAGAATCTAGCGTGAGCAAAATGCAGAAAATTGGAGAGCTTTCCAAGCTGAAACAAAACGAATGCATGAGGCATTTTGACGTGCCAGAATTGAGCCTCAGCCACAAGCAACAGATCTCCAAAGGCAAAATCAAAATATTCCAGCTTCAGCACTCGGGGGGCAAGTTAATCTGCCACAGCCACCTCCCCAGATTCAACAGGTAGCAGGCGGACCAGTGCAGCCAGATCCTGTTGAGGCAGCACCACGTGCAGCAGATCTGGGTAATCACTAGCAGCCCAGATATCTGCTACCTCCATGCCGACCAAATGGAGGACACCCACAACATAATGCACCTCCACAAAGGGAGCATTTCCAGCCTTATGTGCTACCCGTGCAGCAAAATCTTCAAAATCTGCCAGGACAGTACATCAATCATGATCAGATCATCGACATGGTGCAAGAGGCTTATGATCCAGTTTTGAGGCCTCTAGTCAGACCAGCTTACAGAAAACCATATTCAGATTTCATAGACCAAGAGAATCCTTTTCCAAGAGGGTTTAAGGTTCTAGAATTCACTTTATTTTCTGGAGATGGTGGATATTCTACAATTGAACACATAGGCCGCTTCACAATTCAGTGCGGCGAGGCCTCCGGTGATGATAATCCGAAGCTCAGACTTTTTCCCAACTCATTAACTAGTACAACTCTCACCTGGTATTTGGGTCTGCCACAGAATTCAGTTTATACTTGGAGGCAGATGGAGGACCTTTTCCATATCCAGTTTTACCGTAGTGAGCCAGAAGTGTCCATGGCAGATTTATCTCGTCTGGTGTAGCGACCTGGAGAAACATCTGAGGCCTTTCTTGCCAGATTTCGGAAGGCCAGACTTAAGTGCAGAGTTGCCCTGCTAGAATAGGAATTTGTCAAGCTCGCACAAAATGGTCTGGACATTGAATTGAGGAAAAAGTTTGAGGGAATGAAGTTTTGTGATTTCTTTGAGTTGTCTTACAAGGTGACTCGTTATGAAAATTTATTGCAAGAGGACACACAAAGGAAATCTGCATCTGATGGGACTTATTATGGTGATGCTAACTTTGATTTGGACGTGGCAAAAGTGGTGGTAGACAAGCTAGTTGTTTGCCCAAATTTGGTTAAAGTGGCCTAGCAGACCGAAAAAACAGTAAAACGTTATGGTGGAGAGGCTGGAAAACAATACACCTTTGACATTTCAAAAACTAATGAAATTTTTGACCACCTTAAAAAGAGTGGTCTAATTAAGTTGCCGCCGAGACATAAAATCCCAATGGCTGGCAAAATTGGAAGTAGAGAATATTGCAAATATCACAATTCTTGAAAACATTCCATTAATGATTGTGTGATTTTTCGGAATGTTTTACAAGATAAAATCGACAAGGGAATTCTACGTTTTCCAGATAAGGCTAAAGAAACTATGGGAGTTGATGCATATCCATTCCCTACCATGTCTGTTGGGGTGAATACGGCAGATCTCAGGAGCATTGCTAGGGATAGAACTCAGACATACTATAGGCGTAGACTTGCAGCTGATGATCTGAGGTGGGTCATTGAGGAAGCAAGGGCTCGTAGAAATCAGGTTAGATCAGGCTCATACCGAAGGAGACAGCTCGAGGGGCATAACTCAACTCAATAGAAAAATAACGCAAATCAGGGAACTGCGATATCTGGATGCGTAGAAAAGCCCAGAATGGTGAAACCACCACTCAGATCTCCAAGCAAACAATGGGAACATGTGGTGCATCCAAAATTTCCTAAGGGTCAAAATCCAAGGACCTTGAGGAGGCATTTGCAATGCAAAAGGGCAGCAGAAAGACACCGATAGCAGATTACAGACTCGGGGGGCATGGCAGATCAGGCCCAGCCGCTCCCAACAAGGAGAAAATCAGTGTGGATCTATAAAGAAAAAGGGAGCACATCTAGTCAGAATTCTCTAGAAAAGGAGGAACCACCCAGAAGTCCAACATCACCTCGAATTCTGGCTGTGGAATCAAATGAAGAAACCGGTTTGAAGGTGAAATTTGACATGTCAGATGAAGCGAAAAATTCATCAAATGTAATTTGTTTTGGTGAGTTTTTCGTGAATCTATCTTGCTTGGTAATCATTCTTCCTTTGGTCTTTCAAGCAAGAGAGCAATCAGAATCTGCAGTCTGTCACTAGACAGATTTGACTGAAGAAGAAGAAGTCATTGAGATCCTAGCTAAGGAAGATAGTGGCATGGATTCAGCAAATAAAATCATTTTTGAAAAACTAGAAGAGAGGATGGCCAGACATATCAGGCCATTATACATTCATGCACATCTGGATGGTATGCCGATAAATCGGGTTCTGGTTGATAATGGAGCAGCTGTCAATGTTTTGCCAACTTGTATTTTGCATAAAATTGGCAAATCTTTGGGTGATTTGATGGAGACAGAAGTGATTATCAGTGACTTTACTGGTGGAGTAAATCGCTCAAGGGGAATTCTGCTAGTAGAACTTACTGTTGGAAATAGAACTCTCATGTGTGCAGTCTTTGTGGTTGACACCATTGCCACTTATAATGCATTTCTTGAGAGAGATTGGATACATTCCAGCTGGTGTGTTCCTTCGACTCTGCATCAAAAATTGATATTTTGGGCTGGTGGCAGAACTGAAGTCGTGATAGCAGATGACAAGCTGTTTTTGGAAAATATCAATGCAGTGGAAGCTCGTTATTATGATGAAGATATTGGGACTATCCGTTTCTTTGGGATGGACTGTTATGGAAGACCTTCTGGAATTATTGCTTGCACCAGATTTGCAATGGACAGATAGACTGTGAAGGAGGTGTGTGATGAGCTACTTCGGCCTATAGCAATTGTTCCTTTTAGGCCAAGGGAGGAACCTGAAATCGAAGAAATTCCATGAAGAAGGATCGAATTAAGCACTAGAAAAAGGAGGCCGTGGAAGAAATCAAGGGAAAATTAGCGGCCTACCTTGCTGAAAAACGAATCTGTGTAGACAGATCTGAAGTAATCTATGAAGGTGAAGAGGAAGACTTGAAGGATCAAATAACTTTAGAGGAATTAGATATGGCACCAGCAAAACTTGATGATCTGAAGGCAGAAGTACAAGATCCCCTAGAGGAGGTTAATCTGGGTACTGAGGCAGATCCGAAAATTACTTTTATTAGCGATTCTCTTGAGCCATGTTTGCATGATAAAATTATCAATATTTCGCGTGATTACAAGGACTGTTTTGCTTGGGACTATTTTGAAATGCCAGGTCTGGACAGAAATCTGGTACAGCACAGATTACCAATTAGAGAAGATTTCAAGCCTTTTAAACAACCGCCTAGACGAATGTCTCCAGAAGTCACCTTGAAAGTCAAAGAAGAGATAGAGCGGCTGTTGAAGGTTGGTTTTATCAGAACTTCAAGATATGTGGAATGGTTATCTAATGTGGTTACTGTGGTTAAAAAGAATGGCAAGCTGAGAATCTGTGTAGACTTCAGAAATCTAAATCTGGCAACACCAAAAGATGAATATCCTATGCCTATTGCAGATTTATTGGTGGATGGTGCAGCACGTGACCGAATTCTGTCATTCATGGATGGCCACAGTGGATACAACCAGATTTTTATAGCAGAAGAAAACATTCCAAAGACCGCTTTTCGCTACCCATGAGCTATTGATACGTATTAATGGGTGGTAATGCCATTTGGTTTAAAAAATGCGGGTGCAACTGATTAAAAAGCCATGAACGCCATCTTTCACGACATGATTGGTCGTTTTATGGAAATTTATATTGATGATGTGGTTGTGAAGTCTAATGAGGCTGAGGAGCATCTGGGGCATTTAAAGCTGGCTTTTGAAAGAATAAGAAAGCACGGTCTAAAGATGAATCCTTTAAAATGTGCATTTGGCGTTTCTGTTGGAAATTTTCTAGGATATCTGGTGCATGAGCGAGGTCTGCAAGTGGATCAGAACAAGGCAAAAGCTGTTATTGAAGTACAGCCGCCAATAATTAAGAAGGAATTACAAAGATTCCTTGGGCAAATAAATTTTCTGAGACATTTTATCTTAAATCTGGCAAGAAAGACAAGAGTTTTTTCGTCACTGCTAAAGCTGAAATTAGAAGCAGATTTCAAATGGGAGAAACACTATCAGACCGCCTTTGAGGAAATAAAGTATTATTTATCAAAGCCGACGGTCTTAGTGCCTCCTTTAAGAGGCAAACCTTTGATTTTGTACATATCTACCGCAGATGAATTTGTAGGTTGTCTGCTAGCTCAAGAAAATAGTAAAAAGCAAGAACAAGCTGTTTATTATTTGAGTCGAAGTTTGTCACAAACCGAAGTGAAATATTTTTCGGTCGAGAAATTATGTCTTGCTTTGTTTTTTGCTGCAACAAAATTGAGGCACTATTTGCTTTATTCTGAGGTTTATGTTATTTCGAAAACTGATGTGATAAAGTACATGTTGTCTCGACCACTGTTGAGAGGCAGAATTGGAAAATGGGTTCTGGCTTTGTCAGAATTCAACCTGAAGTACATGCTTCAAAAAGCTATCAAGGGGCAAGCCTTGGCAAATTTCCTAGCAGATCATCCGTGCCTGGAGGTAGAAGCGAATGAGGAAAAATGTATTAATTTATTTTTCATAAGTTTGGTTCCTTGGAAGCTTATCTTTGATGGATCTAGCACAGATTCCATGTCTGGAGTAGGAATTGTTATTATTTCTCCAGCTGGTTTGAAAACCCAGATGTCATTTTAGCTAGATTTCAATTGCATCAACAACCAAGCTGAATATGAGGTGTTGATTATTGGGTTAGAAGTGTTGGTAGAGCTCAAGGTACCTGTGGTAGAAATAATTGGTGATTCACAATTAATTTTAAAGCAATTAGAAGGTGAGTACAAGTGCACTAGTTTGTCTTTGGCACCTTATTTTGCTTTGGCAGTACAGCTCTTAGAGGAATTTGATGATGTAATCTTGAGGCATGTTACTCGAGATCTGAATACTAAAGCAAATGAGATGGCACAAATCGCCTTAGGCTTAAAAATCCCAGAAGGCGTGATGAGCAGAATTGTTGTTATGGAAAAACGAATTCTGCCATCTATTCATATGTGTGGTATGGCAATTTCTGCTTGTTCCATAGACGTAACCCAGACATATTGGCACTATCCGATCATGGAATACCTCAAAAATCCAAATTTTAAGGCCTCAAGAAGAACAAAAATGCAGGCCTTGAATTATGTTCTGTTGGAAGATGTTCTTTATAGAAGAGAACATGATGAATTACTTTTGCGCTGTCTTGGTCCATATGAGTACTGCCAGATTATGTCAGATGTGCATAATGAAATCTGTGGTGCACACCAAGCTGGAATTAAGATGAGATGGCTAATTCGCAGACATGGATTCTTTTGGCCATTAATCTTGAAAGATTGTATCAGTTATGCTAAAGGTTGCAAAGCTTGCTAGATTCACGGACCATTGCAGAAAGTTCCAGCGTCAAAACTCTATCCAATCGTCAAACCATGGCCATTTCGAGGATGGGCCATAGATTTGATCGGTAAAGTTTATCCTCCTTCAACTAGAGGGCATTCTTTTATTATTGTTGCCACATATTACTTTACCAAGTGGGTGGAAGCAAAGCCAATGAAAAAGGTTGACCAGATTAATATTATTAAATTTCTTAAGGAAGAAATCATTCACAGATTTGGTTTGCCAGAAATAGTGACTTCAGATCAGGGAACAGTTTTTGTTGGTGCACAAGTTGAGGCGTTTACAAAAGAAATGGGATTTAGGTTACTCACTTCAACCCCTCATTATGCTCAAGCCAATGGTCAAGCTGAAGCTTCCAACAGAATTGTGATAAATCTGCTAGAAAAAATGGTTGATAATAATCCAAGGTGTTGGCATGAGCTATTATCTGACACAATCTGGGCTTATAGAACTTCACAAAGGAGTTCTACCAAGGTAGCTCTATTCTCTTTAACTTATGGACATGATGCTGTTCTGCCCATGGAGTTATCTGCTAGATCATTGCGTATAGCAATTCAACATGGTCTCACTTTTGGAGAATATAATGAAGCAATGATTCTAGAGTTAGAAGCCCTGGAAGGTATGCGATTGACAGCCTTAGATAGGCTGCAAACGTAGAAATTAAAAGTAGCTCAAGCATACAACAAACGGGTGAAATCTAGAACTATGGCAGAAGGAGATCTGGTATGGAAAGTAATTCTGCCACCTAGAAAGAAAGACCCCAAATTTGGGAAATGGTCTCCAAATTGGAAAGGACCATTTCGTATACATGAAGTGCTTAGAGGAGGAGCATATTGGCTTGAATCATTAAATGGTGAGTTACATC